AGATCTTGCCTCCATACCCACAAGTCCATTGCATGGTCCAATCTTCCACTGCCATGCTGGCAGTTCCACCCATCCAGTTCCGGCCAGGTACAGAGACAAAGGATGACCTTGGCTTTCTAGAAAGAATTTTGTTATGGCTCCATACTATCCAACTCGGTAATATCCTCCCTCCCATTTCCCCATAATAGAAAATGCATAGTAGAATAATAGTAAGTGTGGCAGGCCTAACGTCCAAAAGAAAAATGACTGCAGGCCTGACAGTTGCTTTCTGCTCCTTTTTTTTTTTAAAAAAAAAAACGTTTTAAAACTAACTCTGGAGCAGTATAACAATTAATTAAGAAAGTGGCATTTCAAGAAATGGCAATAAGAGTGACAGACAAAAATTGTGTTGCTGGATCAAAGGAATGATTTTTGCAGCAATCAATTTCAAATACCGAAATTAGAACATGGCGATGTTGCCCATTTATTGTTTGATTTCACAGGTAAACTGTTTTTAAATGTAAAGGAAAAAAATGTAAAGTGAAGTGGCTAAGTTATAAATACCAACAGAAAGACACCTATGGGTTATTTCCTACTTTTGTGCAAGCCTCAAAAAAGACACAGCAGTTTTAGTCAATTCAATGCAATTGAGTCAATTCCTTAAAAATATGCTGCACACATTTTGAAGCATTTCTGAATCATTTTCAAAGCATGCAAAGTCCTATTGTTTTGCTCCTTCCAAACTTCAATGTTAATTCATACAAATGTCAGTAAATGGAATTGCTGCAGTATAGTAAAGTGTCTATTCTTTTAAAAAAGTAAACATGAACTGGAGTTCTTCTTCCACATCAGTGATTCCCAATCTTGCAACTTCCAAGTCCCAGAGTTCCCTTGCCTTCATAGCTATAGCTGAGAATTCTGGGAGTTGAAGTCCCACCACCACCTGGTCAGAACCTATCCTCCATCTCTCCCCTCCCCTGCCCCCCATCACAACGGATGAAGTTTCTTGGATGAGAAACTAAATTTCTTCTTCTTCCTCAAGGAAAAAAACTGTCCAGTCGCCTTTTGAAAAAACACTTTTGAGACAGGTATGACCTGGATGACTGGACTCTCCACAGCCATACAAAGATACATCTTAATGGATTTTATCTCCTAGTTCCCTGATGGCGAACCTATGGCATGGGTGCCAGAGGTGGTATGCAGAGCCCTCTCTGTGGGCATGTGCACTGTCGCCAGCTGCTCTTCTAATTTCTGGTGTGCACATGCATGCCAGCCAGCTGGTCTTTGTGGGCACTGGAGTGCCGAAAAACAGCCTGGAACTGCCCCTCCCCAAATGGCCTGAAAATGGCCTGAAAACAGCCCGGAAAATGGCCTGAAAACAGCCTGAAGAATACCCCAGAAAATGGCCTGAAAAATGGCCAAAAACAGTCAAAAAACAGGCCAGCTGGTCTTCAGGTTTCCGGTGTTCTGGGCATGCAAAGACCAGCTGGCCAGTGCGCATGCGCATGCCGGAAACCCAAAGAGAAGCTGGCAGGTAAACACATGTGCGCTTCGGGGTTCTGGGGTTCTGGTGCGTGCATATGTACGTGCATGCACATGCTTTTCGGTTTGGGCACTCGGTGCCAAAAAGGTTTGCCATCACTGTCCTAGTTCAAACTCAAATAGCAACCTAACAGATGGCTGTCCATCCTCTGCTTGAACACCTCCAAAGAAAGGGGAGCTCATCCCAGCCCACTACAGGATGTGCATCACTCTGAATAATGGTTCCGGGGTCAAGATATGGCTATTCTTAGCAAACTTTTGCACTGAATTTTATTACTGAACTCCAATCATTTTTTATTTTTTTATTAGCAGATTTTAAAATTATTTTTTCCCTTCTTCAACACATTAGTCATTATATCAACATTGTTGCATTATTAAATCAGTACATGTATATAATATTTCGCTTCTATATTTACACACCTTTATTCACAGTTNCAAGCAACTTTTTATTGGGGAGTCAAACATAATTCTTTCTTCTGTTATACACAGTTCTGAATTTACTAACTTTGGTCATTTCCCCATATCAGTAGAAATGTAAGGATACTGGATACATTGGAAATGTTTTTTTTTTTTAAAAAAAAAACACATTAATTTGCTGTATTCTGTATTGAGATATTTGGAGCAAAACACACAAGTGCATTTTTGAATGACGGGATAAGAACTATAAATAACCTTGGTACTTATTAAGGAGTAAGCTATGATATCTGTCATCCCAGACAAAGAAGTGAAACTGAAGCAGATACAAAGAAGGCATGTGTTTCTAGCTCGGTAAGAATGCGATGAATAAAGCTTCAGCTGGTAGAAATTGTGGCCTTGTGGGCAACCTTGGGCGCCCAAAGAATGTGATACCTCTACTGCACAAGCTGCATTGGGTGCTGCTCTGCTTCCAAATCCAATTCAAAATGCCGATTATAAGCTTTAAAAATTTTACATGGCATAGGATCAGGTTACATGAGTTCGCCCTACCCAGGCGGACAGCAAAGGTGTGTTGCGGATCCTGTCAGCAAATGAATTCTGATTGGCCAGGTCCAGGAAGAGAGCCTTCTCTGCCGTTGCCCACACCCTGTGGAAACACTCCCCCTGGAGGGGATGTGCCCGCTCTCTTGGCCTTCAATAAAGGCATAAAATCAAGACTCTGTGCTCTTCTTAAATATGATAAATAATAAATAAATGCATAACAGTTGCTTTTCAGTATTTTGGAATCACACCTCTGAGAACTTCATAGCTTTACTACCATGTTTCCCCGAAAATATGACCTGCCCTGAAATTAAC